TCATATTATAATGAAAATGCCATCTCAGTTGATTATCATATTTTCCTGGTGACACTTCAATTTGTAATGATCCTATTGAGTAATTTGGACGAATAATTCTACAAATTCTTTCTTTTTCAAACCTTATGGAAGGAATTTCAGTTATAAAGTTTTATTATGTCGTTATTAACTATAGAAAGCCAGATAATAGAAAAATTGATAGTCATCTTTGTGATAAAAAAAAGGATCTATTTTGAAAAGGGATCCATTTCCAGATAACTCAAGAATTTCACTAATACAAATTCTGCAAATGGAGTGTTATCTTTCGTTAAGCGTTTAAAATATATAAACACCTTTAAAATGCGATTTTCGACTAAAATATCGATTTTACAGATTTTACATTTTTTGTATTTTAAGCTTTCTAAATATCTACAGAGTTTGTTTCTATCATTTTAGAACTAAAGTTTTGTTAGTTTAAACTTCTCTTGGAGACAAGTTTTTGAACCGGAAGTACGATTTTCGTAACCGGAAATGATAGTTTCAATATGTTAACTTTCAATATTTCTTCAATAAAACTTATTCTAATATAAATAAAAAGCATTAAATAATATTTTTATCACTTAAAAAAGTTAAAATTGTTGGCATCACTGGATCTAATCAAGTATCTGGCTGCAAGTTTTTGTCTGGAAGTTTGTTTACATTTGCTGTTGTATGTTATTATCGAAATCTATACAGTAATGGACTTTTTTTGTTTTGTAATATCTTTCCTCTTAAAAATAATAAAACATTTTTGTTGAAGAAGAAAAGACAAATTTTAAAAATTTGAATTTGAATAAATATATTGAATGAAATGTTGCTTTTTGTGAATCAAAATTTTGAACTTTTCTAAGTTTAAAGTTCGTCAACATTTTTAAAGGATATGTGTTATGAACTGTTATGTCAAATACTGTGCAATATATGACAATATTTAATGAGGAATTTATTAAAATATTTATTTTCAGTTTTCAAAATTTATCAGCTAATTTATATAATTTTTATAATTCACTAAAATGTGAGTTATTTGCATAAATATGATTTCGAAAAAAAAAGCAGGCTTCTTAATCACCCTATAAAACATCTTTTCATTTAAAAGAAATTTCTTAGAAATTAATTTACGTAGATCTAATTTTATAGTTATCTGTTTCACAAAATGTTAATTTAACATACAGAAAAATGTGTAAAGGACTAAAATTAATTAAAATCTTAAACTTCTCTAATCTGTATACTGTGTGTGTGTATATGTATACTGTTAATTATGAAATGTATACTGTTAATTATGAAATATGTACTGTTAATTATGATGTCTCCTTTCTATAATAATAAATTTTAAATTAGTAATTTTTTGAAAATAAACATCTCTATAATACTAGGCTAATTAGGTTTCAGAAAGGTATAATTAATAAGGTTTATAATTAATAATAATAGTTAATATTAGTTAATAAGGTTTGAAAAGAGACCCATTTCCAGATCACTCAGGAGTTCCACTAATAAGAGTGTGGAAATTTGGCAAATAGAATGTTATCTTTCATTCAGTGTCTATATCAATACTTATAAACATTCAGAATCTAATTCAAACACCTATTTTCAGTTTTCAAAGTTTATCAGCCAGTATATATAATTATACACTGAAGTGACAAAAGTCATGGGATAACTCTTAATATCGTGTCGGCCCTCCTTTCGCCCGGTGAAGAGCAGCAACTCGACGTGGCATGGACTCAACAAGTCGTTGGAAGTCTTCTGCAGGAATATTGAGCCATGCTGTCTCGATAGACGTCCATAATTGTGAAAGCGTTGATGGTGCAGGATTTTGGGCACGAACAGACCTCTCGATGATGTCCTATAAATGCTCGATGGGATTCATGTCGGGCGATCTAGGTGGCCAGATCATTCGTTGGAATTGTCCAGAATGTTCTTCAAACCAATCGCGAACAGTTGTGGCCCGGTACATGGCGCATTGTCATCCATAAAAATCCCATCATTGTTTGGGTACATGAAGTCCATGAATGGCTGCAAGTGATCTCCAAGTAGCTGAACATAAGCATTTCCAGTCAATGTTCGGTTCAGTCGCACCAGAGGACCAAGTCCATGCCATGAAAAAACAGCCCACACCATTACGGAGCCACCACCAGCTTGAACAGTGCCTTCCTGACAGTTTGGGTCCATGGCTTCGTGGGGTCTGCGCCACACTCGAACCCTACCATCAGCTCTTACCAACTGAAATCGTGACTCATCGGACCAGGCCACGGTTTTCCATTCATCTAGGGACCAACCGACATGCTCACTTGCCCACGAGAGTCGCTGCAAGCGATGTCGTTCTGTCACTAAAGGTACTCGAGTCGGTCTTCTGCTGGAATAGCCCCAAAAAGCCAAATTTTTCCGCACAGTTCTAACAGACAAGTCCCTTGTACGTCCCACATTGATTTCTGCGGTTATTTGACGTAGTGTTGCTTGTCTGTTAGAATTTACGACTCTTTGCAGACGTCGCCGTTCTCGGTCGTTAAGTGCAGGCGGTCGACCACTGCGCTGTCCATGGTGGGATGTTATGCCTGAAATTTCATACTCTCGGCACACTCTTGACCCAGTGGATCTGGGAATGTTGAATTCCCTAACGACTTCCGAAATGGCATGACCCATGAGTCTAGCTCCAACTAACATTCCGCGTTCAAAGTCTGTTAATTCCCGTCGTGCAGTCATCATCACGTCAAAACCTCTTCACATGAATAACTTGAACAGAAATGAAAGCTCTGCGAAAGCACTGCGCATTTATACCTGTTCTACGCGATGCTACTGCCATCTGAAAATTTGCATATTGCTATCCCATGACTTTTGGCACTTCAGTGTATAATTAGTATAATTCACTAAAATGTGTGTTTTTTGTATAAATATGATGTTATAAAAAGAAAGCAGACTTTTTAATAACTTTATGAAACATAATTTCATTTAAACAGAAGTTTCTTAGAAATTAATTTACATAGATCTAATTTCATATTTTATCTGTTTCAAAATTTTAATTTAAGATACAAATGAATGTTTAAAGGGTTATACTTAATTAAAATATTAAACTTCTCTTATCTGTGAAGTGTATAATGTTAATTAGGATGTCTACTTTCTATAATATATTTTAAATTAGTAATTGTTTGAAGAAAAAACTATAACACTAGGTTAATAAGGTTTTAGAAAGATATAATTAATTAGGTTTTAGAAAGCTTCATAATAATTAGTTAAATTAGATTATATTCAACTATACATGAAACGTCTATTAAATCATGAAATAATGTACTTACAAAAGAAATAAAAAGCAACCAAAAATAACGAACAAAACTGAAATATTTTCATCGTTAGTAACGAAATAAAAATAAGAAGTTTCTATTTGAAAAAGAATGGTGTTCATTGTAAAAAAAAAAAAAAAAAAAACTTATTATAAAGGAACATTTTTGTTAGAAAACAACAAAAAAATACACAAATAATGTGCAATTTAAATTTTTATTGAAGCTAAATATTTGAATACGAGCATTTTCGCAACGATTTCTCTGGAGGTTCATGTTCTTATGTAACAATAACTAAATTCAGATTTCTTCTTCCGATTTACAAAGATGTTAATAAGGTAAAATAAATTTGGTAGAAATGTTTTCAGAAAATTCATGGTTAGATAAGAAATTCCCTAAACAGTTAAAAACACTATTTAATGCGTTATACTATAATATTTCGATGATTTATTTTCCGTTTGATTTTCACTATAATTTAAAGTATGATTATTTTCAGTTGTATTTAGAATTACTTATATTATTCTCATGATTAAACTAAATATATATTTTTAAAAATAATTTGTTAAATTAATTGAAATTAAAAAAAAAGCCATGAAAATGCATTAGCAAAAGCAAAAACACTATTTAAATTTTTTTTGAGTTTTCGAGCGATAAAAAATTATACGTTAATACCAAAACATTTATTGCTAAATTGCCAAAATGTAATGGTATTACTCAAAAATTGTATATGCTGCTTTGGATACCGAAATCGAATAATGAAACAATGTTATTTAAAAAAAGAAGAAGAAGAAAGTGGAGAATAACTTACATTTCATTCAGTAATATTTTTTTGTGATAGTGTAAATGACCTTTTGATTTACACTATCACAACAAAAGTTCCTGAGAGAAGTTAGTGAGTGCTCAGAGAAGTTATTCAGTGCCTTTTCAGTGCCTCAAAGAAGTTATTGAAAATTATGTTAATATCGAATTTGGGGCGTCATTACCATATATAATCTGTTGGGTAATTCAAAACGCTGCAGATACATGGTGGCACCATGAAGCAAAAGTTTCAAGAACTCCACATACCATCAATTGCTCTGTATGGGCTCTTGCATCCGGCTCTTCAAATGTCAAACTATGGTTGACCAACCATCAAATGTACAAAACCCGCATATGAAAGGCAACTGCATACGCCCAACATTCTGACAAAATAATACTGCCCCGATGAATTCTTCTTTTGATTTTTTTCAGCAAAAATCCACACATCTATTTTCAATCATTTCAAAAAAGCCTTCACCTGTTTATCTCACCCTTCCCTTCCAAATGCCCGTTACCATCCACTTACAATCCTACCTTTTAAACTTTCACCTCTCTACAAAATTCATACCAATCTGTCACAAGCAATAACATTTTTATTCCAAATTTCATTTACCCAGTAATACGTTAAAATTAAAATACGTTTTTTTTCTAATGCAGCTGGTAAATACTTAGAACGTGGTCTTTATATGCCATAAGCAAGGGTTGCGCCGACATTACTCACTTAGCACTAACCAGGGGGCGCCTGTAGCTAAGAATAATAATAATGCCCCCGCAACGTTCTACGGTTATATTAGACCAGGCCCTATGGTTTAAAGTGGATTCCAAACCACCAAAAATATCCATGGCACAGTATGGATTCGAACCCGAAGCCTGTAGTACCGAGTGCTAAGTCACTCGGCCATCAGGCCGCTAAAATGCCAACGGCACGCGGTGTTCTCATGTGGACACCCTCCGAAGTACTGACTGCGCCCGGTGATTCTGGACTTCAGTGATCGAATGAGAACCGGTATATTCAGCATGGTATGGCCGTTGGTAAATTAAAATACAAACCGTATTTAAACTGTTTAAAAAAAACCATCAAATCTTTCTCACAGACCTAATCTGATGCGTATATGGTCCTTTTTTTCGACACGTCCATACTTTACCATTACTAACATCGAGACAATCAACCAATTTCATCTCAGTACCACACATTGGACATATCAATCTTTCATATTAGTACACACTTTAGAAACCAATCCATTTTCCATATAATACACACCCAATTAATAGAAAAAATATTCTGAGCCTCTTTCATCTATTATGCTATCTGATAACAACACACATCAGTCCATTCCAACCCTTGAACAACCACATCAAAGAGTAGAAAACATCACAAAACAACAGGAAAATTTAAGAAAATATCCATACGTCATATTCATAAGTTAACTTACCGCTCTAAGAGAAAATTAACGATTTTCCTTTTGATTTCAAATGGTTCCTTAACTGCATTAAAAGTATTAAAAACAAATTATTTATTATTTACTTAGTAATCCATTTAAGTAATAAATAAAGTAACAAAAAAGTAAAGCCAGAGCGCTTGACACTCGGCCATTCAGGTCCCAAATTTGTGAATGCCAACGGCACGCGGTGTTCCCAGGTGGTCACCCACCAAAGTACTGACCGCGCCCAATGATGCTTGACTTCTGTGATCTAACGAGAACCGGTATATTCAGCATAGTACGGCCGTTGGCATTCACAAATTTGGGACCTGAATGGCCGAGTGTCAAGCGCTCTGGCGCTCGGTGCCACAGGTTTCGGGTTCGAATCCCGGCGGTGCCATGGATGTTTGTAGTGGTTCGGAATCCACTTTAAGCCGTAGGTCCCGGTCTCCTATGATTGTAAGAGCGCCACGGAGCAAAAGTCAGGCTTCTACCCACGGGTGCTCCATCACAACAGAAGCTGCTTCCTTCCCCTTCAATCATGAGCAGGTATGGGCTCGTGGGCTTGGCCAGCCAAGTGGGATAAGAAACAACAACAACAAACACAAAAAAATAAACTAGTTTCTTATATTCATGAATGGCAATATCATAACAATTGACCATCAATGCAATGACCGATGAGCAATATGAAATAATTAATGACCAATCTGCAACAATGACAGATATACAGTTATAAGATATCGTTTAAGAGTAGTAATTTCAATAAATAACATATTTCTGTTGATATTTATTAGAAAAAAAAATATGCAAATAACAATGAAATTAAGTTTGAATTCTAGAACATGGCTTTCCAAGGATAGGTTTTAGTAAGGCAATAAAAAGGTAATTTCCGCCTACAAAAAAAAGAATATATATTAGAATAAAATGTAATTTATTCTCTGTTTTTTTTATTAATTCTTTTTTTAACAATATTGTTTTATCATTCGAATTCAGCATAGTAAACAACATAAGAATTTGTGACATAATAGAAAAATAATTCGCGGTATTAGCAAATAATTTTGGCTAATTTTAGCGTAATAACTATTAATATCATTGTTAAAAAGTTACTTTTTTTGTGAATTATCAAAACCAAATAACATAATAATTTTGTGTTAAAGTGATAAAATTTGACTTAGAAACAATTTAAGAATAGGGCAAAGCAATGTTATATTTTGGCGTTAAGGCGATACAATTCAGAGTAAAAAATAATTAAAAATCAATAAAGTTTTGCCAAAATAGTGGTAAAATTTGACAATAAAAAAGATAAAATTTGGCATAAAGCAATTTAGGAATAAATTTTTGGCATAATAATGAAATAATTTGGCTTTAAAGCGATAAAATTTGGTATAAAAGCAATTTAAGGAATAAAATTTGACGTAATAGCTATTAGACAATCAATGTTGGCGCAATAGCAATTTTTGCTGATGGATTTTGGAGAAATAACATTTTACAACAATTAACCTTATCAGTCATTTTGTTTGGCGACTTGTCATTCTAGTGATGAACTTTTGTTTAATATCATTATAATACTAAAATAATTGGGGCAGTCATTATGTTTGTTTATTTCACGATTTGGCATTCTAGCGACGGATTTGGCACAAAAGGTACAGGACTCTAGATATTTACCAGATATTTTCTAGATATTTTTGTAAATATTAATTAAATCACTTCATAAATAAGAAAAAAAAAATATCATTTCAATTAATGAAATTTAGAGAAAAATAATTTTCTATTTCCAGAGCCAAAACCTTTAAAAAAAAATGAAATTTAAATTCTACGAAGATAATCATGTTTTTCTCTTATGATGCATAAATCAAAAAACAAACACAGACATACAACTAACAATCAGAAGTTAAAACATTTTTATATTATTAATAAATTTTTTAAAAAAGTATTGAATCTTTAAACATAAAAAAATATATAATGATATATAGTCAAAATTTCTAACGAAATATAAAAACGTTTTTGCATAAAAAAATTATAAATAAAAAGAAAACATTTCATTTGTACTAATTAAGAAAAGAATAATCAAATGCATTTTAAAATTGTCCTTTTAAAAATGACTCAAAATATGTATTTTCAAATGAATAGTATTTCTACTAATTAATATATAAAATTTGTAACTTGAAACGTTTACCAAACGAACTCTTAAAAAAATAAATTTTGAAATAAGAGATAACTTAAAATATATAGAAAATGTAACTGAAGCATTTAACAATGGAAATAAAACAAATAAAGAAAAAAAAACCTCAAGTATTTGCAAATTTATATTATATATATATTTTAAAACCATTCACTATCTAAAAACTCATATTTTAAAGTTATTAACTAAACTCATATTTTAAACTTATTAACTAATTAACTACATATTTTTATTTGATTTACATTAAGTACAATACTCACAAAAATTTAACATATTTAGACATAAAAATTTAATTTCAGATTTTTTAACAATGGTTTAATATATTTATAATGTTCAATCTTTCTTAATATTACTATTATAATAAAAGGGTTTGCGTGTATAAATAATAAAATAATTTTTTCTTTTTTCACTACAACTCAAAGTGCTTCTTTGTTAAGAAAAGGTTTAATTAAGAATTCAAGAAATTAATTATTCATATATATTCATCTATATATGTTCAGTTTGCCAACTGAAGACTGTTCACAATTAAAAGTATGCGCAGTCTTTTTTGCTAAGGATACAATATTTGATAATAAACCTCTACTTCTTTTTCTCTTATAATTAATATTTGTTAAAACTTTTTCAAGTAAAAATATTCCATTGAGAACATCTCTAGTCTTTCCTATATAAAATAGGGTTTCAGATTTATTTTGACTATTGTGTTTATGAATAATTCATCAGAAATATATGTTCAGAAAAAAGTAAGACTTAATAATATTCAAATCAATAGTTATATAAAAGGAAACAAGTTTATAATTTACATTTCCGTTTTGTAAAAAAATATTTAAAAGTTTTTTTTTGTTCTAATGCATCTGGCAAACACTTAGACAACTGTCTTTGATGCCTTAAGGCAAGCGCTGCACCGACGTTATTCACTTAGCACTACCCAGGGCGGTGCGTGTAGCTTGAAAATAAGCTACGGACGCTGAGTTACAATACATCCGCAACGCTCTACGATCCTGTTAGATAGGGACTTACGGTTTAAAGTGGATTCCTAACCACTACAAACATTCCCAGTCTCGAACCCGAAAACCTGTGGTACCGACCACCAGAGGTATAAGCGAGTTTCTAATAGCATTACTAGAAAACAGTCTTTAAATCACAAAATTCAATATTTAGGTTATATGCATTGTTTTCTCAATTAAGTATAAAGATATAAATATAATAATAGCAGATCATTAAGTTATTGATAAGACATGATATAAAAATGTTTTAGAAGAAAGAATGGAGAAATATAAAGATATGAAATAAGCAATAAATGTTTCAATTATGTATATTACAAAGAGCTTATGTTGAGAGTTTAAGGGATAGAGTTGCCTTCTGAGAGAATTTTGCAAGTAATTTTACTGTATTTGGGAGCCGTATGGGAATGTTATGTTGAGAAGTGAGTCAATATGTGCTTATAAATATTTTATGAATTAAGGTTAAGTTGGTGGTAATCATTGTGCATTTCATATGCTGTGGTTGTATATTTATTGTATGTCTTTGAGTGGTGTTTATATGAAGGTCTCTAGGCTTTATCGGATGTGAGTCGGTTCTGATCAAAGAATGACGAGTTCTTTGAAACAGGTCCATTGCCACAATTGCGAAAGTATATGACATCTTTATACGTTGTTTTTAATTAGTGGGTATTTCGATAACTTCAAAGCACAGGCAGTCCAGTCTGCGTATTGCATTACTGGCGGAGTGGAAGTTTATTCAGACGGCTATGTTAGGCGAAAATATTTATGTTCGCTTATTTATTGAAGGGATGAATCTTCCTAAAGGAAATGGAACGCTTTGGCGGGGGTGAAATGATAAGCCTTGCATACACAGATATTTTGGTAAATACCCTTGTACGGAGAAAATCAATGCTTGACTTTTAAACGGAACAATCTTTCTTCGATGAAGTGCTGGCATCACCAGCACCAATAGGCCCAGAGTCAAATTTTAAGAGGAAAACCAGGCCAATAATGTGAAAAGGACGTGAGATTTGGAAACAGTATAATATGAGGTTGACATCAGATCAGGCAGGAGGGAAGATAAGAATCAGGCAGAGAGAGGGCGAGAACAGTACAAATCATTATCACGATGAAGTGAGAACAACTATTTGTATGTGAAAGTAAAGAGCTGCACCCTTGGTGGACAGTTGGCAATTCCAAAAGAAGTATCTAAGCCAGATGAGAACCCCAAACACAAGATCTTCATCGATAATCTTAATGCGATGAAGGGGACAAAAAGGCTTCCTGCCAGCAATGGTGATGCGGACAGTCAAGGAGGTCCCCCCTTGCCATTTGTCCTTGCTGCCTCGATCTTCGATCTTCTACGAAGGAATTAAACTTCAATAATCTTGATATGAATTTTGCTTTAATGAACCTTTTTTTGAAAAGTCCCACTGAGCTAGGAGCT